TTTTACCAGCATATCAATGGGTATGTTTGTCGATAGCAGCTTGAATATTGTTCATCAGTTAAACCAGGGTCTTTGGACGTTAGCGATTTCAGAAAGCCCCACAAAAAGAAATCACACGGGTCTAAACCAGGCGAGCGCGGTGGCCACTGACAGTCGCCTCGTAACGAGACAAGGCGTCCAGGGAAATGTTCTCCAAAAAATCACGGTCCAATGATACCTATTCTGTACGAATCACACAAACATTCACACGTTCAGTATGAAGGGGCTGCTCATGAAATTCTCGGAGATTCGTGCCACTCCATTATCGCATGTTTTGCTTAATGCAGGCTGCAATCGAAAAGATGAAACTGAGTCTCATCGCTAGAGAACGCAAGGCATCATGAGGCGTATTGTCAAGAACGGCTTTGCATGTATTTTTTCGTGAAAGAAAATCACGTGGATTAAGTTTTTGCACCGCTACCAATTTATATGGATAAAATGCAGTACGTTGAAAAGTACGACTCCAAGGAGAACGTGCGCTCCTCTCTCGTCCACTACATGATCGGTCTTCTCGGAATAAATGTCGCTAGATGGCGAGGGTTTCAAATAAAGAAGTTTCCTTCCCGCACCCTGTATATGCGCCAACATTGCGTATAAGCAGCGGACAATTTAAATGCATTTTGTTACGTTTTATAACAACATTCATATTCGCAAAATAATTATTTTCAATAAAAAGCTTTTTAAGCGTTCTTTACTTTCATTGAAATAACTAAGTTGGTTATAGCACCAAAAGTGCTAATGTTATGGTAGTAGTTAATGAAGCCTTCAAATGATTAAAAAAGGAAGTTATTTCATGACTTCAGTTCAAATGTATATGGAACTCACTTCGGTTAGCAGTACCCCGTATTTATGTTCCACGAAGGCATCCTATCCCTCCCCTTAAGCAGATAACCCTCGCGTGCTGTGTGCCATATTCAAATAAATGAAACCGAACCAATTTAAATACATGCTGAATGCCTGCTCAAAAACCTCGGAAGCTAAAACCTATAAGTGATTTTCCCGTTTTACTTTTAAACAAACAGCTTATAAATAACATTCCCATGCTGTTTATTATACAGACCTCTTGAAAATTTTACTTTTTGTTCAGTTGTCAATAACATCTAAAAGATATTCTTAGGTTTTAGAAAAATTACAACCATTCTAAATGCTCTGATGACGAAAGCATTTTTCCTTCTTCGAGTTGGTGCATATATCGAGTTTTATAGTATCAAGTTGATGCATCTACCTTGCTAGAGAAAACGCTTTGGCAGGTTTTATACTAAAAACGGAAAAAAATCTTATTCTTTACGGAAAGTTCAGCGCTTAAGATTGACTAAGGGATGCCATGGAGACATTACTTGCAGTTCTGAAGTTAATTACAAATGAAGTTTTCAGAACTAATTAGTAAAATTCAATTCAATTAACCCAACAGCGGCAGAGCGGCAAAATCGCTGAACACTAGTAGTTCAGTCTGGGGTTGGGGTTAGGGTTAGAATCCAGGCGAACGAGCTGGCTTGATGGACATTTTCGTGGATTTCCCCCCATGCGCAAAGTGTGTACGATTCAGTTTCCCTTAGAGACTCCTCCACGAAAGCATCCTTTCCCTTAGGGAGATATCCCTGGAGTGCTTTTTCATGATCAAATAAACCAAACTAAACCAATTCAATCAAATTAAGCTTCAAAATGTGCTTCTATTATGATCAAGCTCCCAAAACATCGGCAAATAATCAACATTTGGTTTAAGAAGTAGTCCCACGGTGGTTGATATGATATAAGAGCAATTGTTAATCAAAACGACAACAAGATGTAGCTTCAAAACATAGAGAAAATGCTTGATATAAATAGAAACATTTAACAAAATACATCGAATCCAAAAAATTCATGCGGTTTGAGTGTGTTATATTATAACATTGCGGTCTGAAAACAGAGTATGTGTACCTATTCGCAAAGTACTATACCTTTAACAACTGTTTAACAGCAGAAACAAAAACAAGTCAAATTAAAATCCAAATAAAATTCAGGATCCCATTCCTGCTAGTTTACGGGTAAAATTGCAGCACATACTAAAACGATGACTTTCTGTAATAGAAGTAATATGAGTATGCTTTGTAGCTAAATATCAGCATATTTATACAACAAGGATTGCAATTCAAAACATCTCTTAATTTTTTCCAGGATTTCCCTACCCTTTTCTATTTAAAAAGAATAACTTTCTTTCTTCATCAATGCCCCCCTACACAAGGGCCCTTGTATAAGGAGATTGACCCCTTATACAAGGGATTGCCCTTGTATTTTCCTCCATAATATACAACATACAAAATAATCATGATGCAAATATTTGCACATAAGTAATTTAAAGATATCAGTTATTAACAAACGTTTTGATAAAAAAATGTTTTATTAAATTTGTCTTTTATTAGTTTGATCATTATTATTTAACTTTACAAATATAAACAACCTTCCGAAACAAAATCGTAGATTCTTATTGCACAAAAGTTCGATAACTTAATTGATGTGATGCTGCATTTGATTTGATTTAATATTTAACATAAAATTGCCTAAATTAATTCTAAAATAACATCATTCAAAAATATTCAACATGTTCCTTGTCTTTCGTAGTAAATTAGTGACTTTCTATGCAAAGTATACTTGTTTGCTTGAGATTCATGAATATTATGTTTTTAACTCTTATAAAACGATCATTAGAATCATATTTTATTTCAGAGTACTATTATAGTAAATATTAAAGGTGTCTTAAATCTAATCATTATCCTGTATTAAACAATGCATTCTTTTACACTGGTGTGCAAAACTTAAGCAACAATGTAAATTTTAATCAGATAGCCATGAAATTGTAGAAAATGGGTTCTTGCGTTCAGTACAATGAACACGCAATTCAATAGAAAGGTCATGCGTATGCGAATGTCAAGAAAAAAAAAAACGTTACAGGCTACGTGAGCGTACACAAAACGCGTACGGTCGGCGCGCTCAACTCGAGATTACCATAAAAGGAAGGATGGAGATGCAATTAAAGAAATTCGCTGCAAGTACAAGAAGTTCTTTAGTGAAATATGGCTAGAAGAAATGATCTGGATGACTTCACACGTGGAAGAATGATCGAAAATCTGGAGTAGGGGCGAAGTGTGACCAGTATAGCTGAAGAGTTCGGAATCAACAAAAGTGACCTTTCGCGCGTTTAGAAAGCCTTCCATACCATAGGTACAGAAAGATTGGTGGTGGCCGTCCCAGGAAAACAACTGCAGTAAATAACCGATCTATAGTCCTGCAGATGAAAAGAGTCCGAAACCAGTCAGCGAGCGCAACAGCTCAACAACTGTGAACAGCAACGGGCGACAATTGTCGTGGTTTACTGTGTCCAAACACCTTCACAAAAGTGGCCTATGCGCCTGCCGTCCTGAACGTTGCATCCCTTTGAAAGTTGGCCATCGGCATCACCATTTACAGTGGTGCAAGGAGCGCAAAAACTGGGCATTTCATCAATGGAGTCGTATCCTCCTTACGGATGAGAATCGTTTTAGTGCCACAAGCGATTCTCAACACAAATTGATTTGGAGAGAGGTCAGGACACGGTTTAATCTCAGTAACATTACGGAAAGAGACCGTTACGGTGTCCTGAAGATCTCGTCTGGAGAGGCAATATGCTGAACGGGCGGACGGAGCTCCACGTTTTCGACAGAAGTTCTGTAACCAGAGATCGCTATCGTCAGGAGGTGATCTTTCCCCATGTGCGTCTGTTCCGAGGTGCCATTGGAGTACACTTCGTTTTTATGGATGATAATGCACGGCCACACCGTTATACCACACCAGTAGTCGTGTATTCTTGCTGTTCAGAAGCTACTGAAAAGTGAAGATATCACTCGAATGGATTGGCCAGCGTGCTCCCTTGATTTAAACCCCATAGAACATGTGTGGGATGTTTTGGGGAGACGCTTGTGACACGATTACATCCTCCGGGGAACACCCAGCAACTGAAACAGATGCTGATTGAGGAATCGGCACTCTTACCTCAAGATCTGCTGGACAATCTGGTGCTGAGTATGGAAAGACCGTTCGAAGCAACCATTGAAGTAAGGGGAGGGCATATCCCATACCAAGGAACACCTGCTTGTTGTTCTTCCTCTTGCAGAGACAATCATGTGTAACGATACTACGAGTTCAATAAAGCATGTTTTTGTTTGATTCCATGCTGTATGCATTGTATTCATTTTTAGAGCAAATATTTTGAGGAGAAATCACAATTTAGTATATATATATACAGCTAAGTATTCAGTTTTCCTACGATACAAGCCAAGCCTTTTTCCTAATAATATGATGCAGTTGAATTGAGAATAACATTGAGGTATGTTCTTCAAACTCCTTCTTAGTTCGACAAGGTAAGAGAAAATTTCGCTATCCAGTTTTTCGCTCATCCAACAGTTATTCAAAATAAAATCCCAGCAGTTGCTGACTTGGAGCATTATCCCAGCGGTTCAGTTGCTGACTTGGAGCATTATCCCAGCGGTTCAGTTGCTGACTTGGAACTCAGTTTGACATACTTTACTCTGCTCAGTTGGCACGACATACTTTATTCTGCTCAGTTGGCACATTTACTAAGCACTTACATTGCGCAAAGAAATTTTACAGCAACATTAACAGATTTAATCTCCCAAGCATAAATTTGCTTATGGAGTATGTACTTAATAATTGAAGTTATTACGGTTAAACTACATTTCTTCTATATCCAGAAATCATATCTAATAACATTTACTTTCCCATTCATTTAAAATTAGTTTATACCGTCTAACAAATGAAAAGCAATTGCTATCTCAGCCACCATTAATGATTTCTAGCTATTGCAATGGCATTACAATCTAATCAGCAGGATATGTAATAATTCATTTTGGAAAATGTATTCTGTTTGTATAGAATTAAGGCTTGATAAAATTTCATGCTTAAAGAAAGATATGAAGGTAATTTTCATTGCAAATAACATCATTATTTATGATGTATATTTTATTAAAATTCAATTTCATTTACATCGTCCTTTACAGAATAATTTTCAACTGAAACTCTAGTCTCATTTTATTACTATATTCAGAAAAGAACAAGCTTTCCATTACGACCAAAACCCGATTTTTGAGAACCAATTTGCACCGTTAGACCACAGTAGCCAGAAGTTACTATTCGATTACTTTTCCGTACTGTCAGATAGTGCTTCAAGGAGGAATTTGTATTCACATCTATGGCTGGAGTATTCAGGGATATTTTTCGAAGAGCCGGTGACGTTGTAATGATCCTTTGTCGAGAATTGCTTGCCACAGTTACATCTCCCTTTCTATCTTGGAATATTCGAGCACCATCAATAATCCAAGTTTCTTCTCCAATAGGAGAGATATTATGAATTGACTTCGAGATCATATCATAACATTCCTCCAAACAGTTTTCTTTAATATCGTTGTAGAAGACATCTGCCAACACATCGTACGAAGACAAATTCATGAATTTCTCCGCAGTAGTCTTAGTTCCTGATTCATCAACTAAGTACGCTAAACTGTGCTGAGATGAGGAAAAAATAATTCCTTTTCTACAAATTTTAATCATCCTGTTGCCATCAGTCAAGATGTGTACGTTCATTCCTTCTTGAAATACGCGGCTGTTGGGGTGTATGACGCAACTTTTGTTGCCGACACTGTTCACTGCAGCGAGACACCCGCCGACAGTATTGTGCACGCAAATCGCCCCAGCTGGTGTGAGATCAATTTTTACGAAGTTACTCAACCTGATGGTTACTGAACCAAAATTAGTCACCATTAAGCGGGGATGACTTACAAACCCTCCAAAGCTGTTGTTTCTTGCTACGGAAAAATTTCGCTGGTGTATTTCATTTCCTTCAGTGTGTTCGGAGTCTTCTTCTGTTGGTAGGGAAATTGGAAACGGTTCTGCCGCACCATCCCAGTAGTCGTGTTGATTAAAATTCTCATTCGGGGATCCTGTATCTGGTTGGAGAATTGTGTCGTGAGAGTAGGTGCAATTAGGTGTATCTACAAAAATGCTACTTTGGTTCTCATGGAGACCATATGGCGGGGAGGTAGCTTGTGGAAAATTATCATAAAAACCATTTTGCCATCCAGGTTGCTGTAATGTGAATTCATTATCGTAATTTCTAAACTGCGTAAACTGGTGAGGAGGGAAAAAAATGTCATCGCCTGGAGGCAGAGTGTAGGGAGATTTCATTCTTCTCATTGCCATCCTGGAAAATTTTCGCCTGGACGTAATATTGTGGAGCACTTTAAATTTCAGAGTTTAAATAGATCAGCTTCTTTTCTAAGAATTTCCTGTGGGATGAAATAAAGATTTCTACAAAAACAGCATACTAAAAATATGTATAAATATTCAAGAATATATGCAAAACATTAATTATATGAGAAACTATTGTTCTTCTGTAAAGAATTATTATTTGAATTTTGGCTTAATGTTATTAAACAGTTATCTTGTTACTTTTGCCTTAATGTCGTTTCTGTTTTCATTGGCTCCCACCAGGATGCAAAATATTTAATGTACACAAGTATAGAGATCTTATATTTCGGAGACAGTTTTCGGTAGCATTTATTAAGCTGTTATCGTGCTTTTCTCACAGCTTTTGAATTTACTTGAATTCGGCCTTAGTCCTGCTGCATGCAAATATTGCTCGCATGCAAATATCTGTTGTAATTGTTTAACTGGTAGGTAGTGACTGAAGGCAGTGAGTAAATAAAGAACTAATAAAAATGTTTTCAGAGACGTTCTTATACATATCCAAAGACTCGGACTGGATATTTGTTATATCTAAAGCTTATTCATCTCCATATGTTACTATACCATATTTGTCTTTTTTTATTTTATTTTATTTTATTTATATTTTATTTTTTATTTTATTTTTCATTATTTATTCTATTTTTTTATTTATTATTCTTTATTTTTTTAATTTCATTTCATTTTAATGTTGCAACAGTTTCATTTATCTACGCAATGCTGATGGACGGGAGCTCTAAAGATTTGCTTATTACACCTTCCGCCTTAGAAAAGACATTTATTCTTACATTTCTGCTTTTGGAAGCATCAGTTGTTGAACTTTTCAAGGACAGTCTTTTCTCAATATGATTTGTGTACACTATTAATACCAGAACTCATTTATCTCAGAAAGTCGTCTCAAGTGGTTGATGGTAAAAAAAAGAGGGGCGGGAGAACCTCGGACCTCCCCCCGGGGTGTTCTCCCTCAAAATTGGGGTGGGAAGTTTAACAGTTAGCTAGGTTCAGCAATACCTCAATTACCTGTGGTACTACGGAGGTGCTGGCATAGCTTCTACCTGTACCTGTCTTTGTTATAAGAGTTCTAGTGCATAGAATTATTTTTGGTTCAGAACCATCAGTAGCTAGGTGGATAATAATACTGAAAACAAATGGTTCAACTTCCTGTGTACAGTTCGACTGTATGAGTGCTACCGTGCATTCGACCTTCCTTGTACGATGTAAAGGTAGTACTGCAATCCCAAAAAATTCGGGTATCATATTTCAACTAAAATATCCATTTTGTCCGCTCTCGAATCTATTTGAACAATTGTTTTGCGTAACATATATCCGTACGGACAGAATAAAGTATTATTTTTTCGAAAATGAAAATGAATTATAAAATGGATTTAAAATGGATCTAGAACTAGAAAACGATTAGCCGTAGAACGTCGAAACTTTATATACAGGACTGCTATAACATCTAGTTGTGCACCTCTACTTTTGCTGCGATCGGCCGCACTAAATGTATATATATAATTACAAAACAATTCTCTTGAAAATCAAATATAAACATGGCTAGTATTTTCGGAGAAAAATTAACATTGAAAAAAAACAAAAAAACATTTGAAATAATACAGAAAAAATTCAAGTTTTATTGTCATCAGTTGGCGGTAGATGGCATTGGCAGTAAAAAGGCAAATAGAAGGCAGGTAGCAAGTCAACTGAAGGCAGTGAGTAAATAAAAATGGCGTTTACAGGCGAACAGAAATCCATTTATGTCTTAGAATTTGCTAAATCTGAATCAGTGGCTTTGGTTCAGCGGGCATTTCATACGAAATGTCGAGCCCATGAACCAAGTAGCAAAACAATTCATGTGTGGTACAAGAAGTTCAAAGAAACGGGATGCCTGTGTGATAAGAAACGAAATGGTCGTTCGGGCCCATCTGCGCAAGCTGTAAGCGATGCACGGGAAAGTTTTTTTTGAGGAGCCCGATAAAATCAACCGTTCGTGATAGGATATCGCAACCAATAGTGCAGCGGATTCTACGCAGAAATCTGTGTATGCAACCTACAGATTGGCATTGCTGCAAGCGCTGCATCTGTCAGATTGCATTTTTCGTGCGAAATTTTCCATCGATGTCCAAGAACGTCAGACACTAATGCGGAAAAAGAATTTCACTGACGAATCAACCTTCCACTTGTACGGCAAGGTAAACCGCCATAACTTACACATTTGGGGCACCAAAAATCCTCTTAGTGTAGTGAAACACCATCGTGATTCTCCCAAAGTTAACCTGTTTTCCTCTATCTCCTTCTCACATGTCTATGGACCATTTTTTTACAGAGACGATCATTACCAGTGTAGTGCACCTGGATATGCTGCAATTGTGGTTAATGCCGCAATCGGGGGAACATGAGGATGACGACATCGTTTTCCAACAAGATTTAGCTTCTTTCCATTTTCTGTGTGATGTACGTGAGTACCTAAACACACATTTACCTCATCGCTGGATAGGACATGCTTGGCCGACGAGTTGCAGCCCGTCAACCTCCTCCTACATGTTTACCGGAACTTCGGAGAGCATTGCTTTTTGAGTAGTGTAATATCCCCCAAGATCAGATCGATAATTTGATACTCAGCATGCCTAGGCGTTGTACGGACTGTATTGCATCGCCTGGGAGACATACAATGTATTACCAATCATACCAACCATGTAATATTAGTTTTTTTTGTAAATAGTTTTTTTTTTTTTTTTTTTTTTTTTTTTTTTTTTTTTTATTTGCTTCAGGGGACAAAATCGCTAATTTTTTTAATAATATCAAACATATAGCATCTTTTTTTGCTCTTTACCTTTTGTTTAATAAATAAGTTTCCAAAGATAAATAAATAATGTTTCCAAAGATGACGTGCGTCTTTTGCGATGGGCCCTATGCTCGGCCAATTAAACACCTTGTGACTTTTTCTTGTGGAGGTATGTAAAAGACCAAGTTTTCGTACCCCCCTTTGTCGCGTGATTTAGCTGAGCTGCGCGAAAGGATTACACGTGCTGTCAATAACGTTGATAGTACCATGCTGAGTAGAGTGTGGCAGGAACTGAACTATCGCATTGATGTATGCCGTGTGACCAACGGTTCACACATAGAACACCTTTAAGCTATGTAAATAAAACTTGAATTGTTTCTGTATTCTTTCAAATGTTCTTATTTGCTGTATTAGACTTGGTTTTTTTTTACTATAGCGCTTCGAAACCTGGGAGGCAATTCTGAATAAAAACTCATCTAATAGGCTACCTAATTTAATATCACATGATGAACAAGCAGTCTAAATGAAATTTAAAAGACTTATAGACAAAAGACTCATAAATTTATAGGCAAAAGACTAGTGCTATATTTCAGCCTCTGCGAAAAACATATACGCAAAAAGAATTGTATCTAAACAAACTTATAAAATTTGATTTTATGAATAAATGCCACAGGCATGCTTATCCAGCCTTTGGCTGATTGTAGTGGATAATAGTTCCACACAATAAACGTCAATACTGAAAACTCTCTAACACGATGCAGCAACTCATTCCGTGGTCTCCTGTATATATATATATATATATAAATTTATTTCCTAAACAATATTGATTAATTGATTATATTATTCTCTCCTAAGTTTAATTAAAGTAGAATTATTTTAAAAGAGTGAATCCATACTGGTAAGTTATATTTTGAAAGATGTTTTGAAGTAATTTGAAAGTAAAATGTTAATAATGTTTTAACGGGGGACTGGAGTTAAATCATCATGAAGAATAAAATTTCAATTGTAAAAGGAAAATTAAATTAAAACATGTAATCATTGTCATTGATCGGAAATTAGTTGACTTTTCAAGGGGAACAAACCAACTCCCGTTCAATGAACAATAATTGATAAAAATACGTAAATACGAAGGTGTTTCGTCTTTACTCGAGTTATAAGTTAAAGCCAAACCGGCAATTCTAGTCAGGCCAAATATTTCCGCGAATAGAAGGGATTATGAACCAATGCTGATACTCAAAGAACTTATTCTTATGAAGCATTTTAGTCAATTCAATTTGGAGTAAAAAGCAATTTCTGTAGAGAAATCCGAAAAAACTCGAGTGTTTATGCATTTGAGTTCTATATTATTTGTAAAAATTAAACATTGGAAATTGTCATTATGAAATCGAATTCAAAGTAAAATTGAAATAAACATAGAAGATTACAAAAAAGATAAATAATGCAAACTTTGTAAAAACAAATCAAAAATAATATAAAAAATATAATAATAAGAACAGTGAATGTACATGAAGATATAAAGGCCAGAAAAGGTATTAAGTAACTTACATTCTTTCTAGTGGGGAGTTGGCAAAGTGTTCTCTTCGTGTCTGACTCATAAGTGTAGGGTGTCCGAAAATTCTTAGCGGCAGTGGGGGCTTTGAATAATATCAGTCGGTAAGACTTGGGTGAAGTAATTTATGGTAGTGGGTGGGACTCGGAATTCTTGAGGGATGTATTATGTGGAGTTCTTATTTGAGTGAAACTGTCTGTTAAGATTTTTTTGAAAATACTAGTGAATGGAAATTAATTAATTTCTGGCTAATTGTCGTGTCGCCATGATTAAGAATTTAAGAAAGGAAAAAAGGAATTTTCACTGTCCAAGAGCTATTAGACAAACTGAAGTCATGAAATAGGCCCATTTTTTTAGTAACAGCATAAGTCTGAAAACAATTAGCTTTTTACAATATATACAACTGAGTAATTACACTATATAGAAATCCTTCAACTGATCAGTCATCCAACTTATACCGCCTTCTCAGGTTTAGGAACAAATTATCATATCCCTATCAGTTAATGATTTAGAGTGAGTATTTAACGCCTGCTCTTTTAAGGCAATGGTTAATAAATTGAATGGGTATTAGATTATTTTTGAGAATTTTAATAAGGAGCAAAATTTCGCGTTGTAAATCTATTGTATCTGTGCATATAATTTTAATTCGTTGTATTTGATTAATTATTGTATTGTTAATTACTTTTTGGGATATGTTGGAGTTCCAATTTATTAATTTGTTAGTATTGAAATTGAAGTTTCTTGTTTTGAAAAATTTTTTTTGTAGTTAATGATTTGAAGATCTAGAAAGTCTATGCTATTTTGTGAATTATTAGTTTTATTAAGTGTAAGACAATTTGGATAAATCTCGGAGTGTTCACTTTTACCAAAATTATTAATTGTAATAAGGTCATCAATATATCTGTAGGTGTGTTTGTAGTAATTTAACTCTTGTGTTGGTAGATTTTTTTGGAAGTTAAATTCTTTGACAAATAAAAGATATTACAGATCGAGGTGCTGGAATGTAAGCCCATTGGCAATCCTCTGACTTGTTTAAAAAGTTGATTTTGAAACTTGATGTAGTTATGAAAAAGTGTGCATTTTAGGTAGGTTTTCCATTTGTCAAGAGTCATGATATTGAGCATATCAGGGAAGAGTTTAGGTAGATCAAGTAGACTGGTATAGATTTCTTCTAGAGGAAGTGAGGTATATAAGTTTTCAAAGTCATAGCAGTTAATGTTTTGGATGTTAATGGTTTGAATGGTATTAATGACAGGAGTGTTATTATGAATGATCCAGCAATAGTTATGATTAGTGTTACAATCATTGAAAATAAATTTACAGATTTTATTAAGTTGAATTGAAAAATAATAGTCTACATTTTTCTTGTAATTACGTCTAGCACATGTGTTCTTACTCCCGAAAACAATGTTCAGTAACAAGCACATTACCTTTTTACAAGAAATCATATAGCGCATCTTTGGGTCAAACCTAAGAATTATCCTCTAACTAATCAAGAATCATTACGAAAATTCTTTATAACTATAATAATAATATATTTCATATCCACATTGTAACATAGTTGAGCTAACTATGTAAAAATAATCATCCGCAAACTTATCCACAGAAAAGATTAAGTGGTATTTGCGACCACTTATTGAATTCCAATTTAATTAAATGAAATAGGTTAACTAATCATAAAAAAAAATTATGATAATTCTCAAGATTTTACTTACCGGTATCAAATTACAATCAAAAATTACAAATCGACAATTCTCCGATTATTATAATTTACGAAACTGATTTAAACCTCAAAATTACAGTATATTATCAATTCATAATTTGTCTTCACGAGCCTGTGATCTAAAGAAAAATAATACACTTCGCATAAAGTTGCCATAAAACTTTCCAAAGAATATGCGGTTATTGAATAATCTATTGAAATTAGCTTTGAGCAATGCTGAAATGTCATTTAATATTCTGCTACTTGGGAATTACGTAAAAAATAGGAAAAGAAAAGAAAAAAGAAATATTATAAAAAATCTGAAAGGATTCAGATTTTAAAGTACGTCCAAAGGGGCGTTTTTTAAACATTTTGTGTGTTACCTTTAATTATGAAATATCATGTTCTTTACCATAAAATTCACTTCAACAGCAATATCGTAAAATAAGTTTAAAATGAACAAATTTGTAGGATTTCTGATACAGAATCTCGCGCGCTGGGGATAAAAATGTGTTTTTTGTTTGTTTTCTGTACGCTGGAGATAAAAATGTGTTTTTTGTTTGTATGTTTGTTTGTTTTTTGTACAGTGTTGCCATTGCTCGCTTTGAAATCGTTGAGTTTGTTAATCAAAAATTCGTTGAAGTGTTACAAAATATGAAATCGATAATAAAACAAATTTCAAATTCAAATTAGGGCTTCCACATGCCCATATTCTATAGAACATTACGTTATTCAAATTCAGTAGATCACTATTCAAGGATCAATTTGTTTAGTTGATCAGTATCAGATCCATACTTCATTGCGCCATTATTTATAGATGAGAACGTTTATCGTCAATTGATATTCTTTCATCTAACAAAATAAACTCAATCTATCTATTATGCGTTCTCCATCACTTTCTGCTTTTCGTATCTTCCTTTCCTTAGTTTCTTTCGCAATCACCAATATACCAATATGCTGACCATTACAAAACAAAGGCATGCTAAGAAGGCAGGAGAAATACCTTATACATTTAACTCAGACTTCTTTTGCATTTGCGGATTTTGATGAATCACTAATGAAAATACCGCTTTGCATAAATAGAACATAGGGAAAAGCATCAAAGCTCTTAAAACTCTGTTAATTGTACCAAATCCTACTTCGCCGAACTCTGATGAAATATCAACAAGATATTCTTGGAGTGCAGTTAAAAGTACTAATGAGTGTATGGAGCTTGATTCAATGCTTTCTCCCCGCGGTGTTTCAAAGTAGGGAAAGCAGTGTTCTTTCTAAAGAAAAATAGAGACCCCTCCAATCCAGATTCGTACAGACCCATCTGCCTCTTGTCTGCGTTGGGGAAGGTGTACGAAAAGATCATTATGAATCGGCTGAGGCATCACTTGCACCTCACTAATTACTTAAGCCCTAATCAGTATGGCTTCAGAACCGGTACATCAAAGGTTCACGCTGTAGGATTTATATTTATTTTAACTAACATTTATTTTAAGTTTAAACTATCTTTCCTGTCAAGCCTTACTTTCCCCTGGAACTGCCAATGCCAGAGTATGTAAATTTTAGTAGAACGCGCAAGGATTCAAATTATCAGCGGAAGTATTCTGAGTTAAAGTAAAATGGAAACGAGTTCGAGGTGTGCTTTCTTACTTCACGAGCGCGGAGGTAGTTAGTCAGAAATTGAAGAACCTCGCGTTTCGGCCTGTGTGCTTGCCTCGGAGAATTGTTAATCGTTCAACGTGATATTCAAAGTTTGCTGAATTATAGCAGCGGTATTGTAAAACGCGGTGAGGTTAGTTACGTTTTAGAGAGCCTCGTAGTTAGAGTCTTGTTATTATTTCTTTCAGGTTCTTATTTTTTATTTTTACCGCCGGGTCGGCGTAGTTTGTGAGCGTCAAGAGCACGCATTTGTAATTTCTTAAGTTGAATAAAAAGGGACTTTAAACCCTATTACAAGACTTCAGTCTAATTTCCAGTTTCGTAGCAGTCACCACTTTGTTGCGTGCAGGTTGGAGGCGCGCACGACTCTACATTGGCGCCCGAACACTTGTCGAACTGAAATTGGCCGAAAATTCGGATGGAAGCCGCGGGATGCAACAACAAGAAATGGCAAGCCAATTGGAAGGATTTGGATACCTGGTCCAGACTTTGAGAGCGTCAATCAAGCCAAACGTCAATTTCGACAGAAAAAAATTCGGTGGCGATATTTCTAGAAGGCATAGAAAATCACTTTCAGCTCTACCCTGTGCCTGAAAGACAAAAAGTTGCCATCGCCACATCTGCACTAAGAGGACAGGCCGCGCTATGGTGGAAGAATATAGGCAAATTTTTATTAGGGGAATTTGGAGGCCAGACATATACATTTGAAAACTTCAAAAAATCGTTATTAAAGGCCTTCCCCATAGTGAAAGATCGAGCAAGGCTAGAAGCCGAACTATATAGTTTCTATCAACGGGATATAGAAGAGTTGACGGACTTTATTCTGCGAAAAATTAAGCTGACGGATATGCTGTATGGGAAGAAACCCGACGCGGAGATTATTGAAATAATCTTACCAAGATTGTTACCTGCTGTTCAAGACTACTTCGAAATTAGAAACCCAAGCACATTGCAGGAGCTCTTCGAAATGGCGGTGAAGTTTCAAAATCGCAGAATAGCGGAAAAAGCTAGAGGGGCATCGTATTCTCAAAGTATCCGAAGGCAATCTTCAAATGAGCAGACCAGAAATGCAAACTGCTCTTATGGGGGAAAGAGCTATCAAGCTAACTCATCGAACCTCGAAGGTCAAGGCCCAAAAAGGAAATTCGAAAACAAACATCCGCGTACCCAGAAGGCAGAAGTTGAAAGGAAAGCTTTAAACGAATAGAGGGGCCTGTGAAAGCGAGGGTCCACACCCCGGAAGTTTTAAAAAAAACCCTCAAAAGACATTTAAATACGGTCATCGTAAAAAACTCACATTTACCAATTATACAAGTCCTGGTTGGCGATGTACCAGTAGAAGCCCTCATCGATACAGGAGCAGAAGGTAATTTTATGAGTGAAACATTTTTTTAAGAATTTTAATAGGTTACGATTATTTAAAAACAAAAATACGGAAATTATAGCGGCGCAAGGAAAAACCTGTCACTGCATCGGGAAATTATCATTAAACATACAGGTAAAAGAGGAAAGCCTTAAAGTATTAATTTTTGTAGTGAAGAATCTGCAAAATCCTCTTATTTTAGGTATGGAGTTTTTAAGGGCCGCGAGGGCCAAACTGAATTTTCAAGACATTTCTGTTGTGCTGGAGATGGACCAGAGGGTGGTGGAACCTGTGGAACAACCGCAAGTTGACCTTAGCCATTTGAATGACCATGAAAGGCAAGCAATACAGCAAGTGGTGAGTAATTTTTCTAACTTGTTCTCAGAAAAGCCTGGTAGCTGTCAAATAGTTACGCATCAGATACAGTTAACTGCCGAAAAACCTTGTAGGACTAAACCGTATCGTTATGATAAACAAAAAGACCTAATCATCGAAGAACATATTCAGGAGATGTTAAAGAATAACATAATAACGCCCATAAATAGTGAGTACGCGAGTCCAGTCTTACTATGTAGGAAAAAGAACGAGTTTCCTCCTTCGGATAAAAGGGCTTGGAGGTTTGCTATCGATTACAGAAAACTAAATAGTATTACTAAATTCCCAGTTTACCCTTTGCCGGTTATAGAGGAAATTATTAGAAAGATCAAATCTACTAGATATATGACTACTTTGGACTTAACGTCTGGCTACTATCAAATAGCTATGAGACCCGAAGACATACATAAAACCGGACGGAAGTCAATTTGTCTCGGTTGAGACTTAGTTTTGTTTTACTTTATTTAGCTAAGGCAAAAGTATTATTTTCTTTAAGTATAAAATCTAAGAACAAGCAGTTTCTGTTGGTCGAAAGACTAATTCTGTTATGTTAAAGCCAAAATTTGGCCGAAGATAAAAAATAACTTCGTATTCTTGTATTAATAAGAAATTTAGTTTCAGTGCCGCCAGCTTGGCGAAGAATGCGTAAAGTAAAAATCTATTTTTCTTTTATTCATTTTATGGTAAATTGTAAAAATCATATGGATTAAAATTTTGTAAATATACGTAAATACTTGAAAGTTATGTAAAAGTAGAATTTAGTCTAGAAGCATAAAATTTTAGATGCTAAAAATAATTGCTTAAAAGCAATGAATTCGAATTTAAGTATTAAACTGTAGATAAAATCATGCTTTAGAGCGAAAGCCTGCATGTCTAAAGATGAATGAGGGGGAAGTTAGAATGAATGTGTTTTGTAGGGTTCTCCACCTACACTTGAATTTTTAAGAATGTTAAAGTAGCTCATCGAGTTGTAGTATGTCGAGTAAGGTGTGTCTATTTGGTTGTTGAATTCTAACAAATCATGGTGGTTAGGGGAAGTGTTGTAAGACTAAAACACGAATATTCCCGTTTGACACCACACATGGTGGAGAGCCAGGGTAAAGTTAAATTAATGCTTGAAAAATTGAATGAATGTGAAGTAAGCAGTAACTAAGGAAAACGAATCGTTTAAAAACAAAAATTTATTCATTGTCAAGAAAGTGTAAATTATAATGTATTTAGAAAGATACTGATACTTATTCCTTCCAGATGCTGGAAGGATAAGAACAAGATTGATTGATGAAGTCCAGGAAAAGTTGCTGTAAGAAGAGAGATTTATATAAGTATGGACAGAAATTTAGTATACATTTTGTTACATAAGATTTTTTTTGTGTAAACGAGGCTCTTACCAGTTAGTTCAGAATTCGAGAAACTTTACAACAGGTCGTTTGTAGGACCTGCTTCCAAGTTTTCCAAATTCTGGCAGCGGCAAATATAGGGTTTATATTTATTTTAACTAACATTTATTTTAAGTTTAAACTATCTTTCCTGTCAAGCCTTACTTTCCCCTGGAACTGCCAATGCCAGAGTATGTAAATTTTAGTAGAACGCGCAAGGATTCAAATTATCAGCGGAAGTATTCTGAGTTAAGTAAAATGGAAACGAGTTCGAGGTGTGCTTTCTTACTTCACGAGCGCGGAGGTAGTTAGTCAGAAATTGAAGAACCTCGCGTTTCGGCCTGTGTGCTT